CTTCTCTTGGAACATGCTCTTGATGCTCTCCGCTGGGTGCCCTTGTTGGCCTCTTTGCTGCAGCTCAGCCATTGAATTGTATTTTTTTTCTTTATTTTAATAATAATCTGGGAAGTAATTTGGTGAGGGTGAGAGTGGGGAACGAGAGGCGCTAGTATTTAAGCAGGGGAAGGAGGGGGACACGTGGAGAGGGCGTGACAAGTGGAGGAGGTGGCTCTCTGCATGAGTTACATGTTGAGGTTGGATGCGTTTCTGATTTTGCGGGGCTCTTAATTTGGAGGGAACTGCAAAGCTGTGGATGAGGTCGGTGAGATTTTATTTTTATTTTTATTTTATTTGAAATTTTTTGCTCCACATTTTTCTATTTTTAAAAATTCTACTTGTTTGAGAGAATAATTGTTTAGGTGTATGGGCTTTTCTGCAGTGGGATTGGCCTGCTGCTTGATTTTCTACTCATCGCAGTTGATTGGAAGTTGGTCCAATATAGTTACAACTTCCAAGTGGCAATACAATGGGTTGCTCGAATTGAGGCCCGGCCCAACTAAGAGTAAAGATTGAATTTGGATCATTCTCCCCTGTAAAAAATAGATATATAAGAGGCCTATATTTCTATTATAATTGTTGGTTTATTTATCGGATTATTGGGTTTCATTCTAAATTTAGTATTTACAATACCCCATATGAATTATGCTCATTCTTTATTAACAATCATTGACAAAAACTACAGTCGTTTATTAAGCAAATCAATAATTGTGATAAAAGTAATAATTTATCCGCTAATTTTTTGACAGTAGGGAGGATCTGAATCTAAAAATATTGGAAAGGAGGAGGTCGAACGACAAAGGGATGGGCTGCGAGTTGAGAGTCCTAAGAATGCTGTCTTTTTCCTCGTTCTTCTTTGCTCGGATAGTCGTTTTTGGGCTTCTATGCGGTGAGTTCATAGTTTGCATTCCACTGGGATTACGTACAAGCCATCAAGCCCAATTCCTGTACGTGGGCTTTTGACTGGGCTAGGTGGGGTAGTAGCTGCTAGTTCTGAGTCTTTTCTGATAGCACGCACAAGTGGCTGTTACTGCTGAGGTCTGGCCCAAGTAAGCGAAGCCTACAGTACATAGTCATAAGTCGGTGCCACGTCGGATCGAGCGGGATCAACAGTAGTTGACTGTCAAAAGCAGTAGTTTTAGTGTTTATATGTCCGTACCGTGCTCTCCTGCTCTGAAAAGCTCCTCATTCATTCAATCATAAAGAGAGAGGGAGGGAGGGAGGGAGGGAGAGAGAGAGAGAGGGAGAAGGCCGCTGGGTCCCACGTGTCGTCTCATAATAATACTCGCAGTCGCAGTCTACATACTAGACTCCCCTTAAGGCTACTGAGGCTGGCAGACTACGTACGTAACGTACCGGCTACGGGTCGAATTTGATAAATTCACATCGCCCACAGCCCACCGATGAGTTACATGCCCGTCAACTAGCTACCTCTTGCTTTTGTATTTGTACTGTATTTTATTTTGGAGTACAAAATCACGATGTTGCCACTGTTCATGCACAGATCCTCCGACGTGCGTATCATACTCCTCTCACATTATATATGCGACGTACGTACCCCCATTATTATATAGATCCATCGTCTCTGGCCTTTTAATATTAATTGCGGTAATCTTATTTTGTTGAAGCCTTGATGTCTTGTGAGTCCCTAACCATTTCGATCACCAGCAAATTTTTAAATTAAGACGGGGTTAACGATTGTAGATTTATATTTTAGTATGTTCCAGTAACTCTGGCAGGTTAAGGATCTCTTTTAGGGGTTGAAATTTGACTCGGACAAAGATATTAATTTTTAAAAAAATTCATTTTAAATTTTGGCTTGTAAAATTTGGGCTTAGTTATCTCTAGCCATTATATTAAAACTCTAAACTTATGATGAAAATCAAAGATTATATTTTAACGGCCGTGAGTTCAGGCCTTCAAAATAACGTTCCCGCAAAAGGGATCGAGTAAAGCTACAGACACCTGATCTTTTCCACTAGCCGCAGCTCTCAGCGGTGAGTGAACTGGGCCTCTCATTTGGAGGAGGGTATTCATATCACATTGTATCTCTCTCTCAAGCCTGTTGGATTCTTCTACCGGGTTCATTTTATTTCTAGTTAATTTTTAAGTAATGTAAATATGTACCACTAAACCATCTCGATTTTGATCAGAGCTAGATGAAAGATTGTATATAATATTGAGTCACTATATCAGAGGCTGCGGGTACGTTTTTTTATGGGTACTCAATTATTTTAAAGATGAGCTGTATCAATTTCACACATGGATGAGTTATATCTATCTTACTCATTTTCAAGTTCTGGTAAATCTGGTAAGGTCTTTTGGGCCGATGAAGTTGATTTTGTTGTCGATTCATCTCATCGACAACAAAATTTGAATTCAGCTAGTTCTTTTGATGCAAACTTGCAAAATCTGAATGCTCTTCTTGAACTCATTACTGTTCCTTTGGTTTTACATGAGAAGAATGATTTTTCTCATGCTGAAAAGGGCAAAGGAGAGATTAAAGAAAATCTTGATGCCAAGAAAAGTTGGGCTAGCTAGTCTCTTTGCTGATAAAAGAAAAGCAGGTTGTGGAATGAACTTGAATTAAGTTTGTGAATTCTGAAAATAAAGATTTTGTGGTTTTTAATGAAGAAGAATGGAATGAGGGAACTTCAGATGGAAATTTTCCTTGGTTGGGCAAGTCTTAGGGCTAAATGCTAAGTTTAAAGCCATGGAAAGCTATGTGCATAAAGTTTGGGCTAAATGGTCTATTCCCGATGTATGCTTACTCAAACCTGGCCTATTTTTGTTTAAATTCAAAAATAAAGAGGAAATACATGATATCCTTGAAAATGGGCCCTGATTTTTTGGTTCCAGACCCTTCTTGTTAAAAATCTGGACAAATGATGAAGATTTGGAGAAGATAAATGAAAATGTTTATCCTGTTTGGATTCAATTGCCTGACTTAAGACTAAACATGTGGAGCCCTATTGCTATTAGCAAAATTGCTAGTCAAATTGCGAAACCTATTACAACAGACAAACTTACTGTAAGCAAACAAAGACTAGCATATGCAAGAGTTTTAGTGGAAGTAAATATGCCAGTTCCTCTCCCTGACTCAATCTCTATCCATGCATGGCCCAAATGGAAAAATTATAAAGCAAAATGTGGTTTATGAGTTAAAGCCCAAATGGTGTGATAGATGCAAAATTATTGGCCATGATTCAATTTATTACAAAAGATACCCCAGGACTCAGAGATGGGTTCTAAAACAAAATGAGGTTGTGAATCAAGCTGGAAATGGTAATGTGGAAAATCAAACTATGCCAATTGAAACAAGTCTTATTGAGCATGCTCATACTCAGGTGGTAGATGGATCCAGGGTGATGAATTTTCTATCTAGTGATAATATTCAAGGAAAAGGAGCTCAAAAAACTCAATCACCTGATGAGAACAGTAAAACTGTCAATGCTGTGCATGTTGTACATGTTCAGGATCATTTTTCAGAGAAATCAACTCATTATCTGGAAATGTTTCAAGAAATAATTATGTACATGTTGTGCATATTCAGGACATAGGATCAGAGCATTCAAAAGGGGAAAAGGCTATCAAGCATTGGCAAAAATCTGGAAAGAAGGGCAGTTCATCTCCTGGTAACTCTTTTGCTCTACTTAACAGAGTTGAATTAGATCCCTCAACAGTGGATAGGGGGGATGAAAATCTTGTATGAATCTCTTCTTTTGGAATATTAGAGGACTAAATAAGTCCTCAAAGCAACATTTGGTTAGGCTTCATATTTCTCAATACCATCTTTCTTTTTTAGCTCTCATTGAAACAAAAATAAAAGATAGTAGGTTACCAGTCATAACAAAAAAGATAGCTGGTAACTGGAAATGGTATTCAAATGCAAATAATACTGGTAGAGCAAGGATTTTGATTTTATGGGATCCAAACTCTCTGGAGATTAGTGTTGTCAGTCAATCATCTCAACACATTACCTGTGGAATTAAATCTTTGGATGGCAGACTAGATTGCATAATTTCATTCATATATGGTCATAATCATTTGGAAGATAGGAAATCTCTTTGGCATGATCTGCATCAAATTCATCAAAATGTTGGTAATATGTCATGGATGCTCTGTGGAGATTTTAATGCTATAATTGGCAGTGAAGAAAAACTAGGAGAGGCTGAGATGTCAGAGGCTGAAACTTTTGATTTTAGGAAAATTATAGAGGATTGCCATTTAGCTCACATGAAAACTGATGGATGCTTCTTTACATGGAACAATAAACATGATTCCAATACCAGAGTTTGGAGTAGGCTTGATAGAGCCTTGGTAAATGACAATTGGATTAACAACTACAATTCCAGTCATGCAGAATTCCTTCTTCCTAATTGCTCTGATCATTCTCCTGTATTGGTATCAGTTTTTGAAAATTGTGTTCAAGGCAAAAAGCCATTCAAGTTCTTTAAGATGTGGACTAAGCATAACAGTTACTTGCCTTTAGTATATGTTGTCTGGCAAACTTCTGTTCCTGGATGTGTTATGTTCTCTATTGTAAGCAAGTTGAAGACTCTGAAAAATTCTCTAAAAGATCTAAATAAAAGAAATTTTTACAATATTAGTGAGAAAGTAATTAGAGCTAGGAAAAATCTGGAAAATGCTCAAGGCTAATTGCAAGATGACCCTCTTAATCCTGATCTGATCAACTAGGAAAAAGTATGCATTGGTTCCTTCAATAAACTTCTGGAATGTGAGCTGTCCTTTTATCAACAGAAATCTAGAATTCAGTGGAGCACGAATGGAGATAGATGTACTAGTTTCTTTCACTCTGCTATCAAAACAAAAAGGCATCTAAATAGAATAAATGTGTTCTATAACAGTGCAGTGGACATAATTACTGAGGGAGATGATATCATTAAAGAATTAACTTCTTATTGTGAGAACCTTTTGGGTACAACTA